CCTGTAAAGATTTACACCCTCGGAAACCCTGTACAGGGTCGCTATGGGTCGGAACCGACTCGATGGCACATAACAACAACAAGTGTGGCGCTGTAGGATCTGCACTGAACTAAGAATCACAAGGTCAGCAATTCTAGCCCATTAGCTGCTGCTTGGAAACCCTATTCAGAGCTGCTATGAGTTGGAATTGACTCAATGGGATTTAACAATAAGAGCAAACTTCTGGGAGGTGGTGGAAGAGCACTTGGGGTGGTGGGGGGGAAGCTCTTTGAAGCAAAACCATCTCCTGACCAACCAGTCCTATGAGTTGCTTGTGTGCATAAGAACAATTCCTATAGAGAAGTAGCACTGAGTACTAGGGTGGTGCTGTGTAGGATAAGCTCTGGACTGCAACCACAAGGTTGACAGTTCAAACCCACCAGCCACTCATTACAGGGCCATTACAAGTTGGAACCGCTCAGGGGAAGTTAACAACCACAAGGTCAGAACTAAGGATCCCTTGTGGTACAGTGGTTACCATCTCAACCGCTAACTGACAGGTCGGTGATTCTCACCCACCAGCCAATCCTCGGAGGAGATACCTGCAGTCTGCTCCTCATGGGGGAGTTTTACTGTGCTCTCTCCTCAGAAACCCTATACAAGGCCACCATGAACTGGAACCGACTTGATAGCATTTAACATCCACCACCACCACTAGGGTCGCTCTAAGTCAGAACTGACTCAGTGACATCAGATTTTACAGTATGTCAGAACTCAGCTCCTCTGGATATAGCGTTCCCTGGTAGTGGAGTGTGGTAGGACTGTGATGGCAGAGGGTCTGTTTTTCTTGTTGTGACTTACAGTTAGTGGCCTTTCATAGAGTTCTCACCACCTGTAATGGTGAGGGTCTTGATTTGGCAAAAGAGGCCAGAGAAATGGTGTTGTCAGCAGCAGGGTTCTAGCCACATTGTTGAATCAGTGACAACAGTTGCCAGTAAAGTCTGGGAAAGCTGGGAAGTATTCTCTGAAGTAACTGAGATAGTGATGACCTGTTTGGTGAGTCCAGGATGGTAAACATAGCCTTAGAGGTGGCTTTGGCATCAGACATATTTGGGGCTGGTATTGGAAGCTGTCAGTTCGTATTTGGAGTGATTGTTGGGATGTACTAGCTTAAAGATGACAGGAATGGTGGTGGGGCACCGTAGTGATGGTCTGCAATCATTGTGGCTGAGGAATTCTCAGGTTTTTAGAGTGAAGAAACTATTGGAAGTGCCCAAGAAGCTTCAGATCTTGGTGGTAAATAGTGACACAGGTTTCTTGGTGGTTCTGATGACCCCAGGCTCAGGGAGAACATAGGAGGTTTCTGAGGGCATTTCTCTGATGACCAGACTGCCTGCAATGATGACAGATCAGGACCTGAAGATGTCAATATAGTGAGAAGAGTTGTAGCTTCTAAGGCAGTCAACGGGAGGAAGTATGATGACTTAGTTGAGCATGTGTTCCTTCTGATTCAGGAGGTTTTTACAAATATTCTTAAGGGTTGTCAAATATTTTTTGTTAATCTGTGATTCAAAGCATTTAGGTCTATTTGGTACCCAAAGTGCAGGTCTTGCTTTGAGAATGGGTACCCGGGGAACACATTTGTAGTAAATGACCTCCTACTTAAACACACACATGTATGCGCATGCACACCACCCCTGTTGGAGATGTGTTTCAAGGTGAATGTTCCAGATGATTTAATTTACTCATTACTTGTTTGATGACATTTTTTCTATGTTAAAAGGGGATTTTTTTTCCCCCCCAAGTAATTTTTGTGTGTGATTTCTTTGAAAATACTTTTCATGTTCCTGTGAAAGTTGTTAGGTACTAGATGACCTGCCATGTGAGTTATGGTTTTGGCGAATAATATTACATGTGCCATGGGTAGCCAGAAGAACCAACACATCTGTGCTGGAAGAAGTTCAGCCACAATGCTCCTTAGAAGCCAGGATGGTGAGACTTCGTCTCTCATACTTCAGACATATTATCAGGAGGGGCCAGTCCCTGGAGAAGGAAGGATATCATGTTTGGTAAAGTGGCAGGTCAGTGGAAAACAAGATCCCTAATGAGGTAGATTGGCACAGTGGCAGCAGCAGTGGGCTCAAGCATAACAGTCGTGAGGCTGGGATGTCACCTAACAGCAACTCTTAAGAGTTTGAAGAATTCTTCTGAGCCATCATGAGAAACTACATTTACAGTATTTCACTGGTAATGATAAATAATTGTTGAATTCTAGTCCGGTGTCACAGAGGGAAGCCTGGACCTTTCAGCACATTTCTCGGGGTCTTTCAGCGTACTCAATACTCCCTCAGTGCAGACACATGTTCTTTGGCAATTAATTTGTCTCAGATACAAAGAAAGCTGTTTCCCACAAGAACAATCTAGACATTGTGGCCATTCACACATGCATTTCTCACCTGAGGAATTCTGAGTAGACTGTTGTAATATGAGAAGACTCGATGAACTTGTGAAGTCCTCCAACTCTGTTAGTTTAAACCTAGTAAATTTGTACAAGCTTCTGGGGCAGCTTGTTGTAAATGCTGGGCAGACTCATGAACTGGTGATGAGCAAACAGGATGAAGTGGAAGCCTTTGTGTCACAAAGCTTATAAGTGCCACAACAAACAGACTTAAGTAATAAAATGGAATGCCATCCAACAGCCTCTGAACACCATATTATAGGCACAGCCCCGCCCTCATAAGAGGAAGACAATAAAAGAAGCAGGTGGCTCCTTTATGAGCAGGGTTATTTTGAGTGAGGAACTGAAATGTGTTAAATGATAACTTTTTTCCCTTTAATAGTTCTATGCTTCTTATGTTTTAAATTTCATTTGTCATTTCTTCTCTGATAGTGTAAGCAGAGAAGTTGTTTGTGGCATTAGCCAAAGCATTTTCTGGCTTTTAAGTAGTGCAAAAGGGATTTTAAAAAGTTGAAGATTTTCTGCTTTAATGTGTTGATTATTTTCAGATGCCCATTACAGTCAGTTTGAACCGCAAAGTTGTCAGTTCAAACTCACCTCAGGGTCGCTGTGAGTCAGAACCGACTCATTGGCACTTAATAACCATTGTAAAATCACTGTTTAATATAATGCCAGCCCTTGGATTCCATGACACATATATTTGTTTAGTAGACACGTACGTACTGTGTTGAAATTTCTAACCTCCTTTTAAGGAATTCGAGAATTCTGTCCTGGGTATTTTATTTAATGTTTTACTTTGTTTTTAACTCTGTATGTATGTTTACTACTCAAGTATGAAATTCAGTAGAAATGATTGCTGCTTTAGACATCCAAGTATGCATGTGAAGGTAAATGTGTACAATCTGCTATGGAATAGATAAAACCCAAAAACATAGTTCATGTTCGGTAGAAAATTACTGCTTAGTTTATCTAAGTATGCTTTTGTAAATACAAAATATCTGGGAAAAATCTAAGATAATATGCCATAAGATTGTATACGATGAATACTGCTTACTCTAAAGGGAATACTAACCAACAGCTTTTGATTAATCTAGGCTTGTAGATTTGTTCATTTGGAAGAATAGGCGAAATGTAGAGAACAGAGAGCTAAGTGCCATTTTCTGTTAGAGTGGTGTAGGGGGCAAAACAGCTGAGACTAATCCTGACCCACAGGAGAGATTTAGGGACTGACTTGATTAGAGTGGCTGTCCCTGTCTGGCATAGAGAAAGCAAACAACGGGAGACCTACAAGATGTGAATTTGCTTCAGCTGGAGAATAGGAAAAAGGGAGTGAATGATGAAAGCAGTTGAGGATTTGCTTGACTTTATTAAATAGAAAGAAATGAGAC